TTTGTTCACTTTATTACCATTCTCGTGAATATGTAATATGTTCACGAGAACATAGGGGAATTAATTTTAAAAATATACCAAAACCCAAACAGGAAAAAATATCAGCCAACATCAGGATGTTTTTCTTTTGTAACAAAAAGCAAAATTATGTCCTCATATTTCTGGAACACATAACTTTGTGTTTTGTTTTTTTTAATCAGTACTGGGGATCAAACTTATGACCACATAACTTCGTGTTCTTAAATGTAATGCCATACTCTTGGAAAAAGTATATAAAAGAGCTGCAGGCAATTCTTAAAGGTGAGCATTTTCAACATCTAATAAAAGTAATGTTGTATAACATGGGATTTTTAATCCAAGACAGTGTAACTGAGTTTAATGACTATCAAAAGAAATTAGGTTAACATTTACTTTTAAGAGTTCCAGAAGTAGGAATTAGAACTGTAGGATCTTAAGTATCCACTTGCCTTAAAAGACAGAGTCTGATAAATTCTATCAAAACTGACCTGTTCACTTGCAGCCTGTATAAAAATCATGTTGGTATTTACTGAACAAAATGAAGATAAAGTTAAAAGTAAATAACATGGTTGCAGATTACCATCAACTGTGTGAAAACTACATAAATTACTTAATAGAGTAATAAATCATACACTTCTGAATATTCAAGAAAATCAGATGATTTTTCCATTTTTAAGATGTAGCTTTTCACAATTTATAATTATATAGCCAGGACCATTGTTTGTCTCCTTAGAGAAGTTCTCATTACTACTAATTTATCTTTCTATGACAAGCAAGAGACTATAATAGTTTCATTAGCTATTGCTTCTCGAGTCTGTTCCTAAGAGAAAAACCTTGAATACAGAAAAAACAATGTCACTTCTTTCAAGCCTCATTTCTTCCTTTTTATCAAGGGGAAAAATGCCTTTTAAAAGTTTACCAGTGTAATACAGTTTGGATTCGCATTCCCTTGGAATGGTAAACATGCTGAAGTGGAAATCAGATGCTCGGCATTTATCCCGTATCCATCAGAGCCGGACGTAAAGGGTAGGAGGACAGAGGACAGCCACGGTAAACAGTAAGGACGGCTTTAAAACTCACTCAGGAGTTACATTTCATGAGTGATGCTTTGACTCGAGTTTGAACAATTCTCTCAGGGTGGGATGTACGTTATCAAACGGCTCTGCTTTCATCAGGATTAAACGGAAATCGTACTTTAGGAAACGGGAAACAACACCTGTTTCTATTCGAATCTCAGCTCCTAATGATTAGCATATTTTTAAGCACTAGATTAACTTTAAAATATAAATATTGTGATTGTAAAATTTTAATTATCAGGAGTTTATTTAAAAATCGTCAGTGGGGAAAAAAAGAAATAAAATGTAGAACCATTTTATCGGTTTTAGTCTGAATATTCTTACCACTCAAGTATGGATTGAATGCTGGCAACATTAAAAATGCCTTTCATAACTCATATTGATTTTCCCCCTCTTCAAATACAATATTTAATTATTTAAACATAGAAAATAATTGATAACTCAACTGTAAACCTTCAGGTACCACTGTCAGTATTTTGATATATGGAGACATCACATCGTCTGTCCATCTGGTTGTTACCTTTATCTGCATAAAATGAGGGTAGCGCTGAAGGTATTTTATAACTCTTTTTTTTTTTTTTTTTTTTTAGGAGAAAAACTCACCCGACCTTACAGTGCAGTTTGACTGGAAAAACTCAAAGGACTGTTAGGGATGTGTCCCCTTTACAGAGTGGGACGCGCACGCCAGCTCGGTCGGGGAGGGGCCATCAGCGTGGGGTGGCAGCTGCTCGCCTCCCCGGGAAGGAAGGGCCAGCAGAGTACAGTAGCTCGCAAACCCCTCAGCGCCTCGAAGTCACCAGTGGGAAAAGAACAAAGGCCTCTCCGATGCAGCTAACACAGATGTGCCCGAAGGCGAACTGTCAGAAACGGTTAGGATGACAGCCACTCACAGTTCATTATTTCCCCCTCACAGGTCACTGGGTGACAAGCTGGGTCAGCATGCTTTGTTGGCTGCCCGATCCTGCCCACCCCCACTCCCTCTAAATATGGTCCAGAGCTGCTCTGTAAACAAACACATTTCAGAGGCTTACAGATGCTGAAGGTATCACTAACCTTACTTTGGACCAAACTGAGAATTCAATGTTTATACAACTTACCGTATCCAAGCCAGGAGGGAGTGAAGGCAGTTTGAGATGTGGCCAAGGTGAACAAGAGAACATAGCCTACTATGAACCAAGAACCTTCCGTGGAGACTTCGTGTAGTGAGAGATTTCCATTTCTCTTCAGTGGGAAAAAGAATTTCTCCATGGTCTGAAGAAAGAATCGACAATCATGTTGCTTCCCAGGAAGTGGGATGATGCTGTAGGTGGAGAATTATCTAGTTTTTGGTAACTGTTTTAGATTGTGTGGGCATTTGGGACAGAGGGTTAGGGATGTAATTCAAAATAATACACCAACCAAATCGGCAATGGCCTTGAGCCAGGCGTGATGGTGCACTCCTGTAGTCCCTGAACTCCAGAGGTTGAGGTAGGAGGATTGCCGTAAATTCAAGGCCAGTTTGGGCCACAAAACGAGTTCAAGGTCTGCATGAACTGCATTGCAAGACTATCTCAAAAAGACCCAAGAAAATCTTCCATTTTGTTTCATAAACAAGAAAATTATCTGTCTTTCAAAACAGGTACCTAAAGCTAGGTGTGGTGGTACGTGCCTATAATCTCAGCACTTGGGAAGCTGAGGCAGGAGGATTGCCGTGAGTCCAAGGCCAGCCTGGGCTACCAAATGAGTTCAAGGTCAATCTGAGCTGTGTAGTGAAACTATCTCAAAAGGAAAGTCAAACAAAAAAGGCAGTGGCTGAAATCAACTCCTTCGTGATGTTAGTGACAGTTTAATGTGGAGATCAACGTGATGCCATTCTTTTATGAAATAAATAGATAAACACAAGAAAGACAGTGGTCCACAAACGCCCAGGCCTGACCTCAAAGCCTAACTCTCCTGCTGATCTGTGCAGAGTCTGGCACATCTCATAGCTACTCCAAGCCTCAATTTCTGTCTGAATTTCTTATAAGGATACTATGTGACGAGCTTAAGATAGCAGTAAGAAAATCAATCTCATGAAGTTATAACAATTAAAAAGGACTTACAGTCGCAGTGGCCACATGATAAATATTCAACAGAGGACAGCTGCAAGCTCCCTGGAAGCGAATTTAATGTACACGCTGCCAAATGGAACCGCCAAAGCACGAAGCAGCGGGGTAGGGACAGTGTGGCCCCATTATTAGAACAGGGCTCTTTAGAACCTCTGCTTAGGTCAAGGCCAAGCCTCTGTAAGCCAGGTTTAGACATAAAATGCCTCCTCTGAATCCCCAAGGTCAGACAGGGCCTTTGCAAGGTCACTAGGACCAAAGTACACACCGCTGGAGTCACCCCGGGAGAGAGCTATAGGAGTGGGGCTGGCAGGAGGCGGTCACGGGCCTCTCCTGGCCCCGAGTGCTCCCTCTTCTCACAGCCTTGTGCCTTTGAGCCAATCTCCCCGGCTGGACCCTGGCATCCAGCCGCCTGTGCCTTGGAGCTGCTGACCACTGACGGCTGAAACTTCTGAAACCGTGAACAGGAGCAAGTCTGTCTCCCTGGTGCGCTCCCTCCCGTGACAGGGCTGGAACCATCAGCAGGTCCAGCCCACAGGTCCCTCGCTGGCCCCATGAGTGTCACTTACCAGTGACTTTGTACTCACTGAAAACCAACTACACTGACACACCTCTCCTGTTGCCCTTCTAAACTGTCCACCTTATTCAAAAGCTCCCTTTCCACAGGACCCCGCTAGAAGAACACCCTCCCTTTGATAGGCTGAAGACCCCGGATAACTGCTAACAGCAGAGCTGAACAGGCCCTCCGCTGCCTCCAGGGCTCAGCCTCAGCTCAGCAGGTGGTGACTCAGTCTCCTTGCACCTTGGTCCCTTCCAGGGCAGTGTGGTGATGCCTCTGTCCACCTTCCTCGTTAGGTACACATCAGGGCACACTTAACGCCCAAGCAGAGTGGGCACATTTCAGCCGCTGTTATTTACAGCCCAATGTTCTTCATTTCCACATATTGCCTGGGCTGCCTGCCTCTCTGTCTCTGCCCTTGCCCACATTTGGCGGCTGCAGTTTCTGCCTTCGTTAGCTACTTATAAAGAAGCAGAGAAATCTATGCATCGCCAGCTCTCCATTCTTTTCAGTTCTATATTCTTTGTTCGCTATTAGCTCAATAATCTTCTTCATGTTCTAAAATCCTACTTCTTTTTCCAGTTTTCACACATCAGATCATTTCATGTCACTCCTGTTTTACAGTCATTGTTTAAAAAATTGAATTATCAGAAAAGCAAGAAAATAAAAAGCTCACTCTCAAGGCACTGATTATCATCTATTTGGAAAGCACAAAAGCCCACCAGGAAGACATCTTTGGGTCGAGTGATCATTTTGCCAGACTCGGTGCCACAATTCCTTGGGGAAGGAGAGGGAAGTGACTGCTCTGAGTACTTTACTAAACAATGCAGGGACAGAGAGAGGAGGAAACTGACACCGCATCTGCAAAGGTAAATTCTGAGCACCAAAAGGGGGGTAATTCACAAACCCCTGTAGCCTGAGAGGAAAAGAGCTCCCCAAGTTCCTGATTCACACAGAAACACCGGGCACCACTGCTGCCATGGACTCAGGCTCTCCTAGCAGCCAAGGCAGCATAAGAGCCAAGCGGATGAAAGGCAGACAGCAGGGAATGGAAGACTGGAACCTGCACTGTCACACAGGCCTGGACAGCCTCACCCGCACAGCCAGCCAAGCTTCCTGGTTGCTGCATCTTATTATCAAAAACTGTAAACAGTATGTTAAAGACATGATAAACTGGAAAATCACTTTCTATCTATTAGGGGAAAAATTCCTTTTCCATCAAAATTCCAGATGGCAGTATGTAATTGAGGAATACAAAATTGCTTTTCGTTGAAATAAATATTTATCTTTTTATTTCCATGCAAGTGATATTTCTATCTAAAATGAGCGCACTGAGAGTTAAGAGTTCCCTAAACTTTAGTATGGTGACAGCATTTCAGTTAACAGTAAGTAAACAATTGCAGTGGAATCACAGTTTATACAGGCACTTTGTGTACAACATCAAGCCCAACAAAGCCACAGTAATGATACGAGAATAATAATAAATCTCATTTTTCCAGTTAAGTGAAGAGGAACAGGAACACTTTCCGTCCCTCAGCCAGGGATAACTTCTGGCTGATGAGCACATCCCCAGCGTTACTCCTCCTCTGCAGGCTGAGATGGTGTCCATTTGCCAAGGCTTCCTTCCCTCCCTCCCTAACACCAGCGCACCACTGTGCATCGACCCTCAGACCCAACACAGCATCTCCTCCTGCAAAACAGGGAGGCCGGGCTCGGGGGCAGCCTTGAAGCCCTCTGGAGTTTGCCCCAAAGGAGAAGGCTGGGCTCTGCCTCACTCATCTGTACTGTTTCTGGGGATCCTAGCGACTCCCACATCACCCGGTCCGCAGTGTATTTGGGCACAGTCACAGGCCCGACGTCAACGAAACACATGTAGGCATCACCTCTCTCCTGCTCACGCGGCCTGCGCAACTCTGCCGAGGAGCCAGCGGGCTTCTTTGCTATGTCAGGACTCTGCAGGAAGTCTGTGCTGCTGGCAGCTGAAGGAAGCCATCAAATGTCACCGAGCAGTCAGCTGCCATGCCCTAGCTCCAAGCAGCAGCCCCAGGATGCGCCTCTCCCAGGCGCCTCACCAGTGCCACTGCCAGCTGCCCCGTCGCCCTGAGGGAGCCTTCTGGCAAGAGGCGGGTGTCTGAGGGCTCTGGCAGCTGCTTCAGACCAGGGCTGCTGGCATGTTTCTGCAGAACCTAATAAATGAAATATAGGAATAATGTCGCTAATTTCCACTGAGTGGAAACAGCTGAACTGTGTATGCCCAGATTACAACAGTGCATTTTTCAATGGTCCTTTCTGTCTTCGCACAGCACAAAATCATGTGCTCATGGCCAGGACAAGAGCAAGCAGTGTAGGAAGAAAGCTGGCGTGTGATCATGCAGGTAGTAAACTGCTCGTGTAGACATGTATGATATTCACATGTGGACATGTCAATGTGTGCGTGGATGGCAGGCCATGTGTGTGGTCTTAAGCAATCGGTAACATTCAAGTGTGAGTTTGCACTGGCTCCTGAAGACAGTGTGCACATTTCTGTCTTTGGAAATACATGCCCGGGTTGTGTTCTGTCTGGCCTCAGGCTACTACTCGGCTCTGGTCCTCTGCATCCCCGCCATGCTCTGGGCTGTGGTCCGGCTCCTTGGTTTATGTGGTACCTGGGCTGGGTCTCATGAACTTGGGCAGTGAGCTCTTCCAGGTGGGTGACAACAAGCTAAGGAAAAACCTGCAGAATCAGAGACAGGAAAAAAGTAGCAGCACCAGCCTGGCACAAGAAACCACCAGCCATCCGTCCACCAGAAAGAGGGCAGAGTCAGTAGATGGGTAGTGAAAATATCCAGGTAATGCACTCAGTGCTTTACTGATGGTTTCAGGTCAAAGTTGACCCAAATCACAGCAAAGTTAAGCTTCCCAGTAAGGTATTAATCCCACTGAAAGTGGGTAACCATCTTTTCCTGTAGATAGATAAGATTCATATACCAAAGTGGTTGTACACATTAATGATGACAGTAGCACTTGTCTCTGCACCTGGTACCACTGGAAACATAGTACATATATGAACCATGCACGCAGCACAGTTTGGGAGTTTTCCATTCCACCCCAAAGGAAAACACAAAATGGATGAAACCTAGCTTATAGAGACAAGTTAGAGACCCGAAGAACATCATACACAGGGTACCATGGATATTTTTGGATGTCCACTTATGATTTACTAAGTGACAACCACAGCAACAAATATTTTTAATGCACAAGTCCAGATGAACTATGTGAGGTGCACAGCAGTTGTGGGACATCTCTCAGCCACCTGCTGCTGGCCCTCACTTGGGATCCTGGCCACTCCTGGCCCAGATACCTGCACCCAGCTCACACAGGCAAACGTGTGTCCCTACCCCACGTGCCTCTTGTCTGCTGCGTCCCCTGTTCAGACACCAACTGCAGCCCTTGCAAGCACATGACCAGTGAGGATGGACAAAGTGGACCAAGACCGGCTGATGGGGAGACTGAGGTAGGTGAAGGGTGCAAGGGCTACGCGAGTCGCCATTGTTCTAAGCTCAACTTCACTGTGATGCTAAAGGTGCTCTAAAAATAGTCTATTTTAGAAGACTGTAAGCATAAGTGGAGAATCTAAAATAAATATCACTGAATTGTATATTGCAAACTAACATCAAGAAAGAAAAAAGACAATCTACATAGAGAAAATATAGACAACTCATTATGTATGATAATGCATGTGTACCCAGTATAAAGAACTTCTATACTCAATGATGAAAGGAAAAATAACAGTCACAATGTGAGCAAAGGATGTGCACAGACACTTTTCCAATGAAGACATACAAACAGCCAGCGATCACATGGGAAGGCGTTCAACATCGCTGGCTGTTAGGGAAACACAAGTCAAAACCTTAATGAGACAACACATCATACTCACTAGAAGAGCTGTAATTGAAACGACAGAGAATAACAAGAACTGGCAAGGTTGCGGAGAAGTTAGAGCCTTCTTGTGTGGATGGGAAGAATGTAAAATGGCAGAGCCATTTGTTTGGAAAACAGCTTGGCTGTTTCTCAAAATGTGTAATGCGGAGTTGTCATGTGATCCAGCAACAGCAGGATCACACAGTCACGAGAAATGAAGACATCCATACACAAACTTACTTCTACACCACTGTTATTCACAAGAGACAATGGGCAGAAACAAGTGGAAAGCCCACAAACATAAATAAAAGCATGCCTGTGATATTTCCAACACTAGGATCTATCTGGCAAGAAAAAGAAACAAATCACTAGCTCTCACCACAGTCTAGAGGAAGTCGGGTAAGGAGTTAAAGGGAAGTGTCCATCATAACGAGCCTCCTAGTGTATGATTCTACACACATGAAACATCCAGAATTGGCAAATGATGAACAGGGAGGGCGGCAGAATCTGGAAACATAAAAATGTACTTAGGAAAAAGTTGTGGCTTTTACAGTCCTTACCTTGCAGTAAACACAGCCACGAATTCCACACACTTCTGAGATTTTTGTCCTTTATGCCTGTAATGAAAACACTGCTTAGAGATTGTCACTTCTTCTCCGCCCGAAATGCAATCACCCTTCCTAACAGCCATCTTTTCCATGAAGCGAGGATGGCCCACACCGCCAATGCTCCCCGCTGCCCCATCCGCTGAGGCTGTCCCCAGTTCTCGAAGCTGTGTGTTTATTACCAGCAGCCTCAGTGATTAAGAGTTAGAGGAGAATGGTAATCAATAAAGCACTATAGAAACTTCTGTCCCCAAGAATGCCTGTCATGAGACAAACACCAAGGGGCATACATGTGAGGAGACAGCGACAGAAAAAGATCCCACAAAGAAAGAACCTCGCTGCTGCTCCTAAAATGCGCAGAGAAGCTTCATAGGGAGTGTTGTATTCGGTGAGCAAAGGCTAAGTCAGAAAGGACAAGGAAGAAAATAATCAAGGGAGAAATGGACACAAAGCTCTTATAAATAAGAAGGGGAAAGGCTGCAAGGAGGAGGAGGAATGGGAGAAAAGAAGAAGCAAGATATACCATATACAGGCACAAATTCCCCATGGTAACTACAACTACGTGTATCTAAGCATACCAATAAAATAAAATGAAAAAAAGTAAACGAAATGGACAGATAGAGAATATCATATTTGCTGAGCTAAGTCTAAGTAAAAAAAGGAAAAACCCTATGAAACTAATCATGCCTAAGTTAACTAACCACGTGTTCATTAATATTTGGAAACCTTACAAAGGTATGACAAACTGAATTAAATTAAGTGTAACAAGACGTTAAATAAGACTTTTTCTGCTGCCTTGGAGTTTTGACAGAAGCATCAAAGGTTGAGAATACGAGGTGTCAGGCGGTTCTCTGTGCCACAGCAAAGAGCTGCCGATGGGGCACAGCACGGAGAGGCAGGGGTCTGAGGCAACCCAGTGCACGCAGGTGCCTGTTGCAGGTGCCTGCTACGGGCTACGTGGAGCAGATGCAGATGCTGGGGCTGGGGAAGATGGGAAGGTAGAGGAGGAGGACCAGGGAGGGGCAGGGCACCAGGAAGGGTCGGGGAGGGCAGCGAGGAATGAATGTGACGGGATGTGTTGTGTGTGTGCATTAAATGGCACATCAAACCCATTAGTGGGTACAGCTTAGTCAGAGGCTGTGAAAAGTCAGGTTTTTGGGGGGGGGGTTTGTCTTTGTTTTTGTTTTTTTGGTTTCAGGAGTTGAACTCAGGACCTTGCACTTGCCACACAGTTGTTTGTGCACTGAGCTATTTCCCCAGCCTCATGAAAAGTCAGGTTGACAACAGCCCACTGCTCCAGACCCAGGCCTCGGAGACTTGGTCCTGCAAGCATGGCCCCAGGAACCTGCACTGACAGGGGTCACAAGTGATTCTAGTGAATACTCAGGGAAGTTCAGGTGCTGGTATTCCATGAGCCAGACTCTGGGAAACAACAAACCAGATGATGAAAGCAGGGAGGGAAGAGAGAAGAGCTAAGAATGGCAGCAATCCTGTCCCCAGGCTCCCAGGCTACCAGGGTGACCACAGCATGCTTTGCTGTGAGGGAGATTCCTGGTGGGCTTCCTGTCACCAGAAATGCCCCTCCGTGACCAGAAGCTGTGGAATTTCTGCCCATCTGCCACATCTGGGAAGGAACAGGAGAGCTGGACCCTGGGGTTCTGTGTCCACCGTGCCTTTATAAAACCTCCAGGTGCAGGGCATGGACATCATCCAGGTTCGCGAGTGCCCACAGGCAGAGTGGGATACACCAGCTCACAGTGACAGAGGCTCCTGCACTTGGGACCTCATACTGGTACCTCTTCTTCCAAGGACCCAAGTGCATTGTGTGTCCTCTGTCACCCCCTTTGTGACAAACCACAGACATAGGGAAGGGTGTCCCAAAGCCCAGAGCAGTATGGCAACTGGACTGATAGCTAGTGATCCAGGAACTGACCAGGGGTCATCTCTCAGGATGGAGGCTCTCACTCAGGGGTTATTGCCAACTTCAGGAAGACCAGGAAGCACTAAATGGAATCTCTGACTCCAGCTTCCAGTGAGGAATGCCACACCGCCTTGGGACCTTGGCCTGCGCCTAGTGGAGGCCCAGACCCAGGACATTCTGGCCCCTTGGGGACACTCCCTACCTCCTGGACCTAATATTGCTGTTGATCTTCAGCTCCAACCTTTCTCCCAGAATCTTGGACTACAGAGAATTAACTGTGCTAACTGAAGGGAGATTCAGTAACTGCCTGAAGGACTAACTTGGAGAAAATCAAAAGGGCTGATTTTCTCCCAATTTGGAGAAAATCAAAAGGGCTTATAAGACACACAGGCACACAGTAGGGACACAGTAGAGCCTCAGCTAACACAAACACTATAGACAGGGAGAGTTGGTGACCTGGAATAACCTGAAGATAAAGTAATAGCAGGAACTAAAAGTTGACCTACATCAATACTACTAGACTTGTCAGCCCAGGAAGAATATAGGACTCACCCAACAGGCCCTGTATGAGAAGTCAGGTGACTGGCCCACCTATTCATTGAGGACCCAGCAATTGGACAAACTTCAACCTCACGTTAGCACCCCAAGATACACACTACCAACAGTTGACACTAGTGGTATTGAAGGATCAAATATCAACTCAAAAGGGGAAAAGGCAAAACAAAAAAGCAAAATGAGACCTCAAACATCTAGTTCACCAGGAGCAAGTTACAGGAGACATTGAAATAGAAGACTTCAAAAGTAACACACCAGAAATCTCTGAAAAGATAGCAAGTGAAATTAAAAAAAAAAAAAAAAGACTCCATGAGGCTATAGAGGAAATCAAATTAGAAGTGCTCTCCTATGTAAAGATACAAATAACCTTAGTAAAGGAGTTGCTGAGCACAGCTAAGGAAGAAATACAGAAGAAAAGTACAGGAGCATGGGAAACTAATTGAAACCTTGAATGAATAATATAGAAAACATGCAGAATTCATGAAGCAAACTCAAAGAGACATCCAAGAGACAAAAAATTCTATTCAAAGCTGGCAAAGCCATTTAAATGAAGCTGAGGATAGGATTTTGGACCTTGAGGACAGGATTGCAATTAGCAACCATGAAAGGATAGAACTTTTAAAAATAACGAAACAGCATGAAATGACAATCCAGCAGCTTCAAGATGATGACAAGAGCAATAATATAAGATTAATAGGCATCAGTGAAGATAAAGGAGTCAATGCAAATGACATAACTAAAATATTCACAAAAGTAATAGCATAAAATTTCCCAAACATGGGGAAAATCTGATATGAAAATAAGTGAGGCATATAGAACACCAAAAAATCACAGCCAATATAAATCTATACCCAAACATGTAATAATTAAGGTTCCAAACATGCAGCATAAAAGCAGAATGCTAAAAGCTGTTAGAGAAAAGATATAACTCACCTATCAAGAAAGGCCCATTAAAATCATGGCAGACTTTTCAGCACAAATCCTCAAGTCAAGACAAGCTTAGAGTGAGATATTTCAAGCCCTGGAAGAAAACAACTTTCAATCCAGACTGATGCACCTTTCATTTGAATTTAATGGAGAAACAAGATACTTCCATGACAAAGAACAACTGAAGAAATTCATGTCCACCAAAACAACCCTAGAAAGAGTATTGAAAGACATACTAGACAGAGATAAAAAAAAGATCATAATCCCTAAAACAACAACAGAAAGAAACCACCAGGTAACATAAGCAATTAAACAAAGGGGAAAAGCAGAAATCAAACAACTGAAACATAACACGGCAAAGTCGAGCCGGTACATATCAGTGATATCCATAAATGTATAGGGCCTCAGCTCACTTATCAAAAGAAATAGGCTGACAGAATGGATCAAGAAACATGATCCCACAATATGCTGCATACAAGAAACACATCTGACCCAAAAGGAAACTCATAGATTAAAAATCAAAGGATATAAAATAGTATTCCATGCAATAGGAATCCAGAAAAAAGCAGGGGTAACTGTTCTATTTGCAGACAATGTGAACTTCAGACCTAAAATGATAAAAAATGATAAAGAGATAAAGAAGGTCACTACATACTCATTAGTGGAAAAATTCAAGAGGAAGAACTAACAATTATAAATATGTATGCACCAAATACAGAAGCACACAACTATATAAGACAGATACTAATGGACATGAAAAATCAAAAACACAAGAACACAATTATATCAGGGGACCTTAACAGCCTATTGCCACAAAGAGATAGATCAACTGGACAAAAAGTCAGCAAGGAAATAATAGAATTGAATACTACCTGTGAGCAATTGGACTTAGTAGATGTTTACAGAGTGTTTCACCCAACCACATCAGAATACACATTCTTCTCAGCTATGTATGGAACATTCTCCAAAATAGACCATGTGTTATCCCATAAAACATTCTTAAGTAACTGCAAAGGTATTGAAATTATTCCATGTGTAATATCTGACCATAGCACACTGAAATTGGAAAAATGGCAAAAGAAATGGCAAAGCCTGCATAAATACATGGAAATTAAATACCAACCAGTGGGCTACAGATAAAATTAAAGAAGAAATAAAGCAATACCTACAATTCAATGAAAATGCAGAAGCAATATACTGTAATCTGTGGGATGCAATGAAAACAGTCTTAAGAGGGAAATATATAGCAATAAACTGTTATATCAAGAAAACAGAATGAGCACAAATAAATAACCTAATGCTTCATCTCAAGCTTCTAGAAAAAGAAGAGCAAGTTAAACCCAAAGCTCATGGAAGAGAGGAAATTGTAAAGATTAGAGCAGAAATCAGTGCAATTTTTCAACTAAAAAACTACACAAAGAATTAATGTATAAAAAAAGCTGGTTTTTTGAGAGAAAAAACAAAATTGACAAACCTCTAGCTAACACTTATAAAGCAAAAGAAAGAAAAAAATCCACATTCATGCAACAAAGACTGAAAAGGGAGAAATTACTACAGATCCCATAGAAATTCAAAATACCATGAACACCTACTTTTAAAAATCTCTACTCAGAGTGGAAAACACAGAGGAAATGGACAGATTTCTAGAAATATATGAACTACCAAAGTTCAACCAAGAAGATACAGCAATTTTGAATTACCCAATATCATCTATTGAAATTGAAAACATAATTAAAAACTTATCAACAAAGAAAAGCCCAGGTCCTGATGGATTCACGGCTGAATTCTACAAGAAATTTAGAGAAGATTTCATGCCAATACTCCTTAAACTCTTCAATGAAATTGAAAAGGAAACAATCCTCCCTAAATCATTCCTTGAGGCAAGTATTACTCTCATACCAAAACCAGAGAAAGACCCAACCAAAAAGGAGAGCTATAGGCCAGTCTCACTAATGAACATTGATGCAAAGATTCTCAATAGAATACTGGCAAATAGAATGCAGCAAATCATCATGATTATATATCATGACCAAGTAGGATTCATTCCAGGAATGCAGGGATGGTTTAACATATGCAAATCAATAAATGTAATACACCACATCAACAGAGCCAAAAACAAAAACCACATAGTCATCTCACTAGATGCACAAAAAGCTTTTGATAAAGTCCAACACATGTTCATCATAAAAACTCTTCAGAAACTCAGAATACAGTGTCTACCTCAATCTTATAAAGGCCATCTATGACAAACCAACAGCCAACAATATATTAAATGAACAAAAACTGAAGGCTTTCACTTTAAAATCAAGAACAAGACAAGGACACCAACTATCACCACATCTATTCAATATAGTTCTAGAAACACTAGCCAGGGCAATCAGACAAGAGAGAGAAATAAAGGGAATAAAGATAGGAAAGAAAGAAGTTAAATTATCACTATTTGCAGATGACATGATACTTTATACAGAAGACCCAAAAACCTCCATTAAAAGACTACTAGAGGTAATAAACAAATTCAGCAGTGTAGCTGGATACAAAGTCAACACTCAAAAAACAATAGCATTCCTGTACACAAACAAAAAACTCACTGAGAGGAAAACTATGGAAATATTGCCCTTCATGATAGCATCTAAAAAATGAAATACTTAGGAATTAACCTAACTAAGAATATAAAAGAACTATGTGTTGAAAATTATATTGTGCTAAAAAAAGGAGATTGAAGAGGATATTAGAAAATGGAAGGATATTCCTTGCTCTTGGCTAGGAAGAACCAACATTGTGAAAATGGCCATATTCCCAAAACTGTTATACAGATTTAACTCAATCCCAATCAAAATACCGTTAGCATACTTCACAGATCTAGAGAAAACACTCCTAAAATTCATTTGGAAACAGAAGAAACCTAGAATAGCAAAAGCAATTCTGGGCAACAAAGGAGGCATCTCAATTCCTGACCTGAAACTATACTACAAAGCCACAGTGATAAAATCAGCATGGCACTGGCAAAGAAATAGATCTGAGGATCAGTGAAACACTTTAGAAGATGCAAACACAACTTCAAAGAAACTCAGTCATCTTATATTTGACAAAGGGTCTAAACATATTCACTGGAAGAAGGCTAGCCTCTTTAATAAGTGGTGTTGGAAAAATTGGCTCTCCATATGCTGAAGACTAAAACTAGATCCATGCCTATCACCATGCACAAAACTAAAGTCTAAATGGATCTAAGACTTAAATATTAAAACAGAAACATTAAATCTACTGGAAGAAAAGGTAGGCAGAAGTCTTGGAGACATAGGGGTAGGCAGAGAATTCATGAACAAAATGCAAACTGCATGGGAAACACTTCAAAGAATCAACAACTGGGATCTCATATTAATGAAAAGTTTCTGCATTTCAAAAGAAATCACCAACAGAGTGAAAAAAAACCCACAGAATGGAAAAAAATTTTAGCCAACAACCCCTCAGACAAAGGACTTATATCAAGAACAAATAAAGAATTGAAAAACATCAAGCCCCCAAAATTCAAAGACCCTCTCCAAAAATGGGCATCTGAGATGAGCACACAGTTCTCAGATGAAGATATACAAATGGCAAATAAACACATGAAGAAATGTTCACCATCACTGGTCATTTGAGAAATGCAAATTAAAACAGCATTTAGATTTCATCTCACTCCGGAAAGAATGGCTGCCATCAAGAAAACAACTGATAACAAATGTTGGCGAGGCTGAGGGGGGGAAAGGCTGCTGGTGCAGCCACTATGGAAATCAGTATGGAGAATTCTCGTAAGACTAGGATTGGAAGTTCCATTCAATCCAGCTATTCCCCTCCTGGGTATTTTCACAGTAAAACTGAAAAGATCATGTCACAGAGATATATGTGCGCCCACGTTCATAGCAGCACAATGTGTAATAGCTAAAGCTTGGAAACAACCAAGATACCCATCAACTGCAGAGTGGATGAAAAAAAAAGTGGTATTTTTATATAATGGAATATTACTCAGCTATAAAAAAGCACGATCTTGAGGCCTTCATAGGTCAATGGAGACAACTTGAGACTATCCTATTAGTGAAATAAATAAGAATCATATTTATAAATATCACACTGTGTCTCTAGTGTAAAAAGTAGTAAGAAACGTAAAATCCAAAATGTGTAATTGCTATTGTAAAAAGAAAAAGGAAGTACTCTAAAAGATATAACTGCATGTATGTTTAAGGGTGTAGGATTGACAACCATATTACTAGGTTTTTGTTGGATTGTTGAACAGAACCGTTTGCAGTCTCACTGTTTGAATGTCTAATTTGTATGATTTACATTTATAACTTGAACAACTATTTCTAAGATGACAATATGTAATTTATCAGCTAGTGATTTTTTACTGTTTATTTTTTTAAATTACGTATTATTTCTACACTTTTTCTGTTTTGTTTTTTCTCTTTAAATAAAATTTAAAAATAAATAAATAAATGGAATCACTGGAACCCCCTGCCCCCATGATGTCCTCAGAAGACTGGAGAATTTTTGGGGGTGAAAAAAAAATACCTCCACATCTAGAGTCAGAAGTGAAATACAGGGAGAAACAAAGTTCTCGCTTTGCAAAAATAATATAAACAAAGAACACATTTAGGGACTTGACAAAGGTGGGGTGGAGTAAATCCTTTCTAATTTGGATTGTGCAAGAGAAGACACTGTTCATTATAGGGTGGGGATGGAGCCCAGGCCTTCATACAGGCAGGTGAGTGCTGGAGCCTTGAGCTACATCCGACCTAGAAAATCAAAGTGAACAGCAGGGAGGCGATCTAAGATGCACGCGAATGTGAACACTGGGAATGCTTATGTAAAATTTCAGCACAACACCATTCAAGGTCTAACTGAATCCTAAGCTGAGCATCTTGTTTGCAGGCTTTGGACAAACCAGACTGTAGAGCACATGCAGCTCTGGGCAGGGTGGCAGAGGCTAGAGGCGGAGGTCTTCACGAGGAGTTTGGGTCAAGGTGCTGTGCAACTGATGCAGGAAAAGAGAAGCATTCTGTACTGATCCGGGCCATATCTAAATCGGGTTAGGACGGTAACAGGTAGTCCAAGGAAGCCTGCACAGGCTCTGAGAATGTGAGGCGCTCAGGCGCTATCCTGGCCTGGACCTGTTTCCTAGGTGACAAAGGGAGACTCGAGCAGCAAATGAGCCAGGGAAATCACAGCAAGAGCCAGACGGAACCGAGGGCACGGTGAGAGCCAGATGGGAATCAAAGCCAGAGCCAGATAGGAATCAGAACTCAGAGCACCAGCTTCCACCCCAGCCCTTCTCAACCAGCAAGCACGGCAAGTTCTTTCCTGCAGCCTGAGACTGAAAATGCATCCACATCATCACTGCTAACAATGTAACACTGATGCTACTCACAAGGTGGTGACTATTTGAATACAATTATGTTGAAACACCAAATAGTTTCATAGTATAACAGTTTCTCCTTAATTAATAAGCAAGCTCATTTTTAGTTAGGGGCTTGCTAAGTTTTCCAGTCTGGGTTTGAACATGTAAGCTGCCTCAGCTTCCTAGAATACTGACAATACATGTATGGGCCACCATGCCTGGCTGAAGGTTTGTATCTCAACAACTGAGTGAAAAGATAAAAAGGTGAGTAGGTAGGTAGACAGATAGATTAGCTAGGTAAATAGATAATAGATGACAGAAAAGAGAGAGAGAGAGAACTAGGTAGGTAGATGATAGAGAGATGATAGAAAAAAAGAAAAAAGATCACATAGGTAGGTAGGTAGAAGATAGGTAATAGAAAGATAGATGATAGATAGATAGATAGATAGATAGATAGATAGATAGATAGATAGACCATCTTTAAGGCTGTCAACCCCAAGCATAGGACTGTATGCCACAAAAAACCAAAAGAGTAGTTGCTGTGATGCCTTGATGGAAACGTGTTAGGTGGATAGACCCCACTGGGAGTCTAGAAAACACACATGTGTATGTATCCTTTGCAATATTCCACTTACCCGCCTGCAGAGGTAAGCAAGCAGCCATGGCTGGAATTTAGTGCGGGGGACCTCCACAGGCTCATGCCCTTTATTTAACTCCAAGGAGGAGCGCTCCTGTGGGTCACAAATCCATTTCCACAGACACCTCAGATGCCTCTGGTGTCTGCCAGCATTACCTGGGTCAAAAATAGAATTCACACAGAGAACAAGGAATAGGGACTTCATCTCCATGATTCCTAGTAAGAACTTCCATTCAACAATCCATATAACTGGAATTCCACACGGAGAGCCTCCTATCTGATGCTGACATTTCTCATGGTGTCACCTACCTGTGTGACTGTTACTTCTGTCTGCTGTTATTGTCTAGCATTACACAGCTACACTCATCAGCCAGGTGACCAGACCCTTACAGCAGCAGGCATTTGAACCCTGACCTGTTGGCCAGTTAAGGCTCCATTTCTACCAAGACCCAAGTGACAGAAAAGGGTGTATTCATATGACCACAGCCGAAAGAGTAATGTCAAAATAGGAAGACAGGAAAGACAAGCACAGGACTGGCTTCCATGACAGTCTGAAAGCTCTTTCATGGGCCATTTTTTTTTTATTTTGCTCCAACTCTGGGTCATTTTTAGGATAGAAAATTCAGCCCTGTATTTGTTCTGATTAGGAAGCCCTCAGAATAAAGACAGGACCCCTTCTGCAACTCCATAAATCCACAGATTTGACATGGAAGGCTTGCCAATTCTGAGGTCTTTATGGCCATGTGGGTAACAGAAATGCAGGGATCTGACTGGAACTCATGTGAGCGCTGGCACTACGGGTGTCCCCCTTCATCCCTCAGCCCCGACAGACCAGCTCAGGAGATGGTGCAAGGCCAGGCTGCTCCTTCTGCTGACTTTTCCAAGAAAATTCAGAAGTGATTTTTGTGTGTGAAATCATCTTATCTCTCTAGCTTCACAGCTCAGAGAAAAATGCACAAGAACATGCAGACCAAAAAATCTATAGCACATTCATATTAGCCTCTAATCTAACCGCTGTGTATGCATCATTTTAATAAGCGTTTTAAATTTTACACTAAAGACCTGATCCTATATACCAATATTCCTCACGTGCCTTAAAAGTAAACCAACACCAAGATGCAGTTGTGATCTGAAAAGCAACTTTGATCCAACTGACCTATCTGAAAAGATGTTCAAAATACCTTCCAAAGAGAAGCACCTTTTTATGATTTTTGAGACTGTTCAGGTCACCCGGTAATGACACTGTTGATCTGTCTTTCACCCATGGATGCATAAAACAGAAAAAAAAATTAGAAGGAAAAAAGTCTGTGCAGGGCCTTGCTATATTGAATAACAATAAGATGATTGGCACCAGTGAAGACATAACTGCACTAATGAGGCACAGAGTGTTTACAGCCCTCTTCCGAGCTGGCAGATTGCTACTTTAAGTGCTAGTTCTATTATTTTTAGCATATAAAAGGCTAAGTCTTGATTCACAGCTTTTGTTAAAATCATATTACTTAGGAGAAGAGGAAAAATTTTGTATCTAGAAGTTGCTGTCGTTGAGGTGATTTACTGTTATAGCTAATGAAATATGGTTACCTTGAAAGAATAAATCAGACAAGTAGCTTAGATTCTTGGGAAAAGACAAGTGTATTTGAAAGTATATACCCAGAGTAAGACAAGCTCTAAAACGTTTGTCCTATGGCTTTTTAAAAACTGAAGTGCAATTTCATAATGACAACCTCTTTTCCAAATGTTCTGCTACTTCACTTGCACCTTATAATAGTTCTCTCTGTCTCTCTCTTTCCTTCTCTCTCTCTCTCTTTCTGTTTCTCTGTCTCTTTCCCTCTGTTTCTCTCGCTATCTCTGTCTCTCTCTGTCTCTTTGTCTCTCTGTGTCTCTCTCTGTCTCTGCCCCTCTGTCTCTGTCTGTCTGTCTGTCTGTCTGTCTCTCTCTCTCTCTCTCTTTCTCTCTCTGATAAAGGCAAGATTCATTGGTACAAAACCAAATAATCCTTGCCAGCACAGGCATCCTCCTTCCTTCCATGTGTCCACATCTCCCCCGCTTTCCTTCCCTCTCTTTCTTCCTTCTTTTCTAGATTTAACAAATTTATTTCTTGAAAACAGAGACATTCAAAGTTAAAATTGCTACATCTTAAAACTGTCACCCTTTCCTTGCCCAAATTCTCTCTGTGACATCAAGGACACTGAGTCTTTAGCGTGGACCCTACTCAATTCTAGGCCGTCCTGGTCGGTGCAGGAAAGAGATCTAGGCAGGCTAAGAGCAAGCCAGCCACACTGCTTTCCTTGTGTCCAGGAGACCAAGGCTGATGAGCACGACCACCAAGCTACACGCTCCCAACACCTGCATCCACACCCTGGCCACTGACCCACGCGCCCACTGAGAAGGACCTTCTCTCGGCTGTCTCTATCTGCAGTAACCACTGATCCATTCCCTACTCATCATTTTTAGTTTTGGTTTGTTCTTTGCTTTTAAAAACAGCTTTATTAGAAAATAATTGACAGAGAATATGTCAGTTATACAATTGACAGGCACATATTTACAGACAAAATTTGCTAAGTTTTGAAATATGTATTTACCTGTAAAAATGTCACAGCAATCAAGATAATAAACATATCCATTACCCCCAAAAACTCACTCCCAAAGTTTCCCCGTAAGTCTTGTAAAACTCTCCCTCCTGTCCCAATCCACCCCCTTTCCTATCTCCAGGCAACCAGCAATCCCCTGTCTACCATTATTCTCTAAAACTGCACATAAGTGGAATCGAACACTATGTGTTCTTTTTTGGTTGTGCTGCTTTCCTTCAGCATGATTACTCTGAGATTTGTCTCTACTATTGTGTGTATCAAGCATTTATTCCGTTCTAGGAATGGATATAATGAAATTGGCTTATTTATTATCTCTGGATGGACATTTGGATTGTTTTAGCTCTTTCAGGTTTTTGAAATAAAGTTGCTGTGAACATTTATGCACATGTGTTTGCATGAACATGTGCTTTCATTTCCTTTGGGTAAATTTCACGGGGTAAAATAACCAGGCCATCAGATACATAAATGTCCACTGCTTGCGGAAAGAACCACCTGCCACCCAAAGTGGCTAACACACTGTTTAATTTCCCAGCAGCCGTGTGTGCAGAGAGCTCCCCTGGTGGCATGTTCTCCCCAGCACTGAGTATGACTGTCTTTTAAACATCAGAGGTTTTAACAGAGATGCTTGACTACAGGCTTATTTTTGCTCATCTACTAATTTTCGGATACCAACTGTGTATTTTCTTATTAAAGCACCCCTCCTGTCAAAATCATTTATCTGCTTATACAATTTCCTGACAGCTCTTTTTCATATTTTGCAAATATCCTACTCTGTATAACATGTCTACCATCAAATTTGGCACCTGGAACCGCTGTGTTAGCCTGTGGCAGTGCAGTGCTGCCCACCTGGTGAGGGAGGTTGGGGAGGGTCTGCGTGGATCTGCACTCCTGCCCCACCCCAGCACAACCTTGAGGAAGTGATTTGCTCCTCTGAACCTCAGTTTCCTTATTTGCAATGATAACCCATGACACCTAATGTCTGAGGACACCACGGTGTAACAACACAAAGAAAGAAGTAGGTGCAGTGCTCCACTCTAGTATGAGTGCGGCTGTCAGCCCCTGGCCTAGCAAGATGTCTGCCTGGCCCACGCTCAGCACATTCCAGGGGCCAGAACTCTCCACCCCGCTACCACACTCCTGCTACAGAAAGGGTCCCTCTGTGTTCCCCGTGTGCCAGCTCTGCTGAGGTACAGTAAAACCTAGTTCCGGTTCTGAGCTAAAAGCCTCCCAACTGCCTATCCCATCGGAAGTGTTTGCAGAGAAACTTCTTAAATCCTAAAATACACTAGGACTTGTTTTTGTCAAAAATTAGATGAAATCAAAAGCTAAATGAGTAAGAAAAAATAAGAAAGAAACCTAGAGAGCCCTATCTCTAGGCTGCTAGAGATAAACCAACCTTTTTTTCCTCATTGCTACTTTTTTAAGTGTATTTTTTAAAATTTAATTCTATCTTTGAAGGTTAGAAAAAAAGAAACAAAGGACATTTACCATCCTTCCCAAGAAAGCAGTGGTTTTCTCTCGGTTTTTCTCTTACAGCCTGGTGTCCCATATTTAGCAAAGGCTGGAGCACACATGTGCATTTCAGTTTTTAAGCCAGCAATCTCAGCAGGAATAAAGAAAAAAGCTTTCAGGGTCACAGAATGCCCAGGAGCTCACCGGGCGCACGGGTGCCGAGTGTAGGTCAAACACTTCGCTTTTTAAAATATTTGTAAAACACTACCAGACTGAATGGCTTCATCTTCCAGCGTAGGGTAGACTAAAACTGAATGTTGCTTTTATGAATAGGAATGCAGACGCCTAGTGAGGATCCCTAGGCAGGGAACAGCAGATGTGGGCTCAGAAATGAACATGTATCATTGTGAGCTCAAGCGCTCACAGCCACAGTCACACCCTTCCAGGGGCCTGCAGCCAGGCGCCCTGAGACCCCCGTGGCATAGGATCGTTCCCACTCCCCGTGAATAGAGGTGAGGAGCAAGGTCTCAATAAGTTAAAAGAACCAGAAAATTCAACAATGTATCACAAATAGGGAGGTCATTATGCCTGGATAAGCCCAGATATTAACAGTTGCTGAAGTGAAACACTGCCCACAACTTCACTCTCGGTGAGCCCTGCTTGGAATCAGTGATCCCCCGTCCCACAGGGGTGGTATTTTACAGTTCAGTGCAAAATAAAACAGACCCTGATATCTTCATTTGCCCCCCCCCTTTTGCTGTGCATATTTCACAGTGCAGTGATTTGGGGTCCATCATGTGTCACTTGCTAGAGTTATAACTACAAAGCTTATGTGAAATACATATGCACGGGGAAAATAAAATGCAGTGAACTGAAAACAAAGAAACTAATCCTTAACCTTCGTATCAATTTAAAGTTTCACTCTGGCTGTAAAGTGGTTGGTGAACTTACATTGTCTTAAATGTTAGGATTCCCTGCCAAGAAAATTAATTGAGAATATTGTTTAAATGGCCATTTAATCATTTTCCAACTTAGGGGACCAAGAGAGCATTACAAATAAGTAACAACCTCTGGGATTTTATCAATGCCTGTTGGGGAATTTGTGGCAAGACCAATTTTCTGCCTTACCAGGTGACAGGTTTTAGTTTTTAAAAAGGAAGGTACAATAGTATCTGATTTTTTAAATTGTTTCCTTTTAATTGTGAATTTTTTATTTCTCATGAATTAGCTGTGCAGAAAACACAGGACTGAAGAAAAATGTCTCTGAAACATTTTGGATGTAATCAGCACATGGAAACTGCAAGCGCCTGGCTGGAGTGAGGACAGCGAGCCCCACGCACTCAGCACGTCACCATCTTGGGCTCAGTCCTGCCACCGAGGTGGGTGCCAGCATCCCAGTGGCCGTGCAGGGTCAATTAAGAACATGAGGTTAATAAGTCGCACCACCCATGGGCATGTGGGATTAACTGATGCCCTTCCTGGGCATCTATTCCCCTCTCCCAAGGTCACTGAGGGATTTGGCTCTGATCTTTCTTACTCCAAAAACCACAGCTCAGTGAACGCCTCAATTGTTTTGGAGGAAACTTTAGATAGCACAGATTTTATGGTGGCATGAAACTCTAGAAACAGATTCCACGACATGACAGTTATGAGATCCAGGGAGAGGCCTTCCTTAGCATAGGTCCAGCTCTCCTCTCAGGAGAAGGCTGGGTCCAGGGACCCAGTGCCGCTTGCCAGTTGTCACAGCCACTCCACTCAGCAGCAGTGCTAAGATAAAGACACCCCCATCCCTGATCGGGCTTAGATGGGTCAAAGGCAGAGTGCTGTTGTGTTTCACCATGAAGTCACAAAGACCAAGAGCTCCTCTCTTTGCTTCTTACCACCCTCATTGTCATCAGCTGAAAACCTGCATGATTCTTACGAGACTAAATAGTAAGTATCTATGAGGGGCCTAAGATGTGTGACACAGTAGATGCTCAACAAAAGAGTAGCTGTTATTATTAAATCAGACAAAACACAGTGTCAAAATGACCAACTGTTAAGAGTCTCGGGGTTGGAACAGAAGGTAGGAATATCCCCTCTAACCCTGATGTGCTTTGGAGTACGAGATGGATAGTATTTTGGGCCCTTTGCAGCATAATTATCTTGTATGTTTGCTTTAACTCCTTGTGGTAAAGCAAGACACACAAGCACTGCTGAGCCCCTGGTGGAAGTGGTGTGATGCCCCAAGCTTCATGGCGGGGCTCCTTGGAAAGCTGTGCCCTCACTATGACTGTGCAGGAGGTCTTCGCCCACCAGAAGCAGTGCTGCCCCATATGAGGTGCTGCCGCGTGGGCAGAGCTCACAGTGCAGATGGAGGGGACCAGGCAGGGACTCCAGGCGAGCTGCAGGCTTGGCTTCTGCACTCTCAGGCCACTCTCGGAGGACCCGCAGATGTTACTGGGACTAGACCATGGCGAGAACCAAGAAGGCTGTCATGAGAGTCCACGGTTCACCACGCTCTCCCTTGCACACGCACATGCAGTTGGGCACCAGAGACTGGCACAGCCCTGTGAGCCAGTGAGCAAGGAGCAGACCTGCCCCGAGAACAGATGCTCTTGGGCACCTTGGTGCTCAGCCATACAATGACTACTGCACACAGAGTCCACTGCTTGAGGAAAACACCGGGGGGGGGGGGCCCTGTGGCATGAGCAGAGGTCACATACTTCCAACTCCCGGGCTACAGTGAGCCTTCCTCAGCACACCCACCCAAAATAAGTTACCCCAAGCATTGTGCAGTTTGATTGAGAAGGTCTCTTCCAAATGTAGTCCTGGGCCCCGTTAGCCCAATCACAGCCACATTTTCTAAACACAGTGGGTAGGTGAGACCCTGAGCTGTGTGCCATGGGACATTATAAAACACTGTTTTTTGCACTGACAACAAGTTACAACACAACAAGGCCCCCATTTATCAAACACACACACAATTTCACTTTAAACTCTAGGTAAACCATTAAATACCTTAACTATGGGCATGTAAGAAATAGGAGGCTCATTTCTGCTGGAATGACCACACAGGGGCACATCATGAAAGAAATAAACCATGAAACAGGCCCTGCAGGATGGAGATGGCACAATAGGAATAACAGAGAACAAAAGCGTATTCCAAGTCAGGGCAAGCGGGTTTAATCAGTGTGCCTGGGATTTGCTGGTAGGCTCCAGAGGTAAATCTGGCCAAAGAGTGGAAGGAGTCGCATGGAAGGCTGTGGCGTGAGGAAGCCAGGAAGGGGCAGAGGAAGCTTCCAGGCAGGGGTTCAATGCTGGCGGATTTCAGTAAGTTCACCCTGACTCAGGAGACAAAATGGACTGTGAACTGGACGCATCAAAGGCAGGAGAAATGACTGGAGCCCACACAGCCTCCCAAAGACAAAGGACTAGAAGGTGAGGCTTTAGGGACAGCTGTGGGATGGTCTGGGGGTGCTGAACTCCTGTAACTGTGCACATCACAGGTACCATGCGACTTCTAATGCTTCTCACTAAGACTTACATGCCAAAGCATCACCCACTCCCATCACCTGCAAACATTCTATTATTCATACTCAAAAGCTTTAGCTCTTAAATTAACTGATCACCTCTCCTGAGTAATTGCGCCAAGATTTTAAGGACCAGTATTTATTTGTATAAGATTCTAGTAACATACCAATTTGTACTCTAAACTCTCCCCCACAATGGCATGGCTTCAATAACAAAATTATTTCCTAGTACTAACAATGTCTATCCCCTATCTGTAACAATACCTACACAGTTAAATAACAACTGATTTTGAAAATGCATATTAAACACTTACTGGGCAATAGTTTATAAATGTGATCAAACAGTAACATGAGGGAACTAATACATTCCTTAATGATTCTATAACAGAAGGTACAGATTTCTCAAGCAAGGAATGTTGTACATTCCTGGGTGTGAAAAGGAAATTTTTACAAATACAGCAAACCCCACTCCCCAGCCTGAGAAGATCTGACTTACAGCGTCCTCATTACACAGCCTCCGGCTGGCCAGGAGAGCTGAGCACTGGAGGGAAAGCCCCCACGGCGTCCCATCGGAACAATGCTGAACCGTATCCTCCTAATCCCCCCACCGCAGGACTCAGCATTTAAAGCAGCACTTGAGCTCAACCTCCTAACTCCAAGTGCCATCCCATTCCAAAGTCCCCTCCGCCACCAGGCAGAAGATTGTTTTGACTGGAATTAGTCAGACAGAAGAACTGCACTGCCAACTGTTCGCTGTACAGCACCTGCTGCCAGTGCCTAAATTCTTGTTATCTCCACAACACGGTTTAATCTTTTAACAGTTGGCTTATTGGTGCAGAGCAAAGGGGGCTTTTGTCTCTGCGCTGGGCTGGCACCCAGCATGAACACCATGCTGTTCTTCAAGAGATATTTTGCTGGACAGTTCCCAAGTGATTCTACAGAGAGCAGCCACAGCCTGGTACACTAAGGAAACTTCATTTTGTGTTGAGAGAGAGAGAGACAGAGAGGATTTAAAACTGACAGCGCCCACTCCATTTATCTTCTGTGGCTATACCTTCTCCTTTTGCATTCCAGTTATGGCAAGAACGTCATTTTCAGTGCCTTGTTGCTTACATAGAAAGAGGATTTCTAAGAGGATTTCACATAGCAAAATCCTGATGGAAATCCTTTTTTAAAGTGTGGTTGCAGAGAAGGGAAGGAAGCCCCCAGGGTGCCGCTAGCTCTCTCAGCTACACTGACGCTGCTGAACACAGCCCCACAGCCCAGGCCCAGACAATTCCTTCCAAAGCTTGGCTTTTGGCAAAGATCTCCCCTTCCTTTTAATTCAGTCTGCTGGCTTAGCTTGAGAGCTGTATTTATGACCGATGGGAGATAAAAAACGGCACGCATATGTAGAAAGCCATGGTAGGGAGAGGGATATGGGAATGCATGCTGCCCTGTTCCTTAGCAGAAAACCTTCCTTTACATCATTCCTTAAGTGGCCGGTTTTGTTTTGGATCTCTGAATTAACTGTGCTGCTACATAGAAGCAAAGACAAAACTGAAGCAAAGCCAATTAAAACTTCTGGCTCAGTTTCTTCCCTGGTGACAAATGATGACAGAGTGGCCTTCACTACTCTTGTGCAAATTCAAAATAATCAGAACTGCTAGTGGCCTCTCACTGCAAGCCTACCAAGGAACAGAATGCAAGATAATGGAATTTTTCTCAGAAACCAAAGTCCATAGGTCACAGCCTTAATTCATATAAATTACTTACTGCCTAGAAATGTGTCTAAAACTTGTAATACTGTACTTAGGGCTGAGTCAAGTGACTTTACACACAAGCTGAAGTCACAACTATAAGCAGTGGGATAAAAACTCCTCCCTACATCTTTGCTATGCACTTTTAAACCATCTCCATGCTCTAGCTCGGTACGCATCACCCACCCACCTTAGTGAGTAAAGAGAAAAATGGCAAAGCAGAAAACGTCAGCAAATACACAAGTAGGCAAAATAAGTATGACTGCTGACTGAAAACTAAGGAAATGAGTTGGGAACTTAAAGAACTTTGTCCTGTGCTAATGACAACCAGTTAAAAATTTAATCCAAAATCTTGTATTTGCTCCCGTATACTAAAATTCAATGGGAAATATTTTGCTTCAATAACTTGCTCTCCATAGGAAAATAAGGAATCACTTGCTTTTCCCCTCCCCTTTGTGATGAAAATAATAATGCTGAATAAATGCAATTAACAGGGCAGTGACACATTCCGTCACCATCTATGAACGCTGAATTCACAGCCCACTGGTAATATGTGTGCCACCACTCTCAGCTCCTAATCTGGTGGTCTTCTTGCTATCTCCATTCACAAGGTTGTCTCTGATGCTCCCAGGTGTCTGTGAAGCCACACACTGGCAGTGGAGCCAGGATGAATTTCCTGTTCATTTTGGCCAAACACAACACTGACTCCTCCCACTCCCAGCCCCGAGTCCCTTACAGTTCCTCTCGTGAAATGCTTTTATTTTCCTTTTCTGTCAACTACCATGGAGTTTAAATCTCATTCATTTTCCATAAACGTATAATTTTATTGCTTGAAACTGTGTAAATCTAAAAACATTGCCAGTTTAAGTAACAACAGTGAGCTATTGAAAGACGTATGTGCCAAGCTGTCCATTTCCAGTAGATTCCAAATCTATTTTTAAAGTGGATAAAAGGGCAACAGGTTGTAATTGTCTGGGTTGTATCTGTCTCCCACATTACAAATGGGGATTATATGTCCCAAATATTTCTCGGTAGGAAAGGTTTTACTTGTCAATAACAGATTTAAAAGAACAGCCAGGGGCTGGGCACTGATATATTTGTCTCCAGCCAATTTTAAAACCTATGCATCAAAAATATTGGCTTTTGCTTCCCTTCCATCAACCCCTGTTGTAATCCTCTTAGTGCCTTCTTTATCTCAATGAGCAGCAAGATTCCTCGATAAATGCTGGACAGATATCTATCCCCTCCGCCTGAATCCCCACTCAGAGTGCTCCTTTCAGGGTATTAAATTACTATTCCCAATGGACTGATCACCTCTCTGTAAATAACTGAAGACTATTCTGTTGTTGCTTTGTTTGTTTTCCTCTGAAAGGATTTTAAAGGTTTCATAGTCAAGAGAAAGTCATTTTTTTCCCCAAAAGCTTTTCTGTACTAACCAACTTATCAGGTTTTGCTTTCTTATGCCACTATTTTGGACTAAAGTTTTATTTAAAATCAATTTCTTTCAAAAATACAATAGTGGAAAAAATTGATTGAAAATGAGTATTTTCTCACTTTCTCTAAATTTTTAGAACCAATTAATAACGGTAAATAACTGCAGACAGTTATTCTCTCTTTTTGAAACATCAGAGGACACCATTGGTCTTATAAAGCCCAACTATGACTTTAAAAAGCAAAGAGTAAAAGCCTCCTCCGGGACCCTCTCCCTGCTACCTCTCTGACATCCAGTCTTTCTCTGGGATTGAGCTGGTCTTGTTAAATGAGTTAATTAATTTGTGAATCCAATTTAGTTTAGATAAGTCTGAGCATCCAGATACTGCAGAGACAGACATGATCAGGGTATTCTGTGCCCTTTGGGGGTTTTTGCGTCAGTCTGAGACAAGCACTTCCTGAGTCAGCTTCCACACACGCAAGATCAAGATCAGATCTTGCCCCTGCTCCTTGATTTTTTACAGGACAGCAGCCAGAATCCCTACCCCTGAATTAAGCCTCTTCACCATGTATGCCCAACATTTTGATAGGCTCCATCATTCTGCTCCAGCTACTCCAGAACCACCTGAAATGTGTCCTAACTTGGAGCCTGCTTGACACTGAAGCATGGAAGAGATGTCACAAGAGGAAGAGCACCCAGTTCACTGCCTTCAGCAGCAGCAAAGCAAGCATGTGATAGGGTGCCACCACCAGAAATCTCACCGCAGGTCAGAGAAAGGTCTTGAGAAGCAGCTGCCAACAGGTAGGGCTACGAGATGGTCAGGATTTCAGTGGCAACTCTGAGGGCCGACCACTCGCCAGACTCCGTGCCAGGCTGTGGTACACAGCTGTCAGGGATGGCTGGGAGGCATGAAGAAAGAAAAATCACAGGCAGCACAGAGCAAGCGCCTTTAGAATCCAGCAAATGAGCAGTCTGAGCCGGCGGACACACAAAGAACATACAGAACAGTCAGCACCAAAAGATGGCTACAGCTAAGCCACAATGACAAAAAGCCACTCAGCAAAAACGCACTGTGCCCTTGCCCTACATTCGAGACTGGGTACCTGCACTTAGGAACACAAAGCTGAGTCATCACGATGGTGCCCAAAGAGTTCTCAAGGAAGTCGTGGTGAAAGACTCAAAGGCAAATGCCTATCCCTAAACACAAACTCCAAGAGCAAGGGCAAAGGGTGAAAGGAGTTCTGAGAACACAGCGAGGCTGGTTCTCTTTGGAGGACAGGATCAAAGCAGGGTAAAGGGAAGGAGGAGAGGTTGAGTAAAACCTCAAGAGGCAGAGGGGACAGCGGTGGGGACAGATCCCTGGCAAAGCGAACTCCAGCCACGGCCCTGCTGTACCCAAAGCATATCATGGCCCACAACTGGTTCGTTCTGACCGCACTGTACGGTGCAGAGAGGATCAAAAAGTGACAAGACTGAAAACGTGAATTGAAAGTTGGGAGGGAGAATAACCAAGATTGGTGAAGGCCTGGGGAGAATTATGGAGCTACAGAGATACAGGATTTTCAGTAGGAAAATAATGTTAAGGCAAAATCTAATGAAGAATACCAAGATTCAAACTTATGGTAAAGAAAGCTGAATGTTAGGTAAATATAAAATATAAAAAACATTAATTAGTATGCCATTTACTGTTATTTTCCAAATTTGCTAAATAATAAGACTAGATATATTTTTATTTGGTTTTTATAAAACTATTTAGATTCATATGCTGCTTGAAACAGCCAAGATTTTCGATATGAATTTGGACACAATAGAGAGACTCCCTGAATAGCACACAAGAATAGAAGAAAAAGCTGGAGCACAGAGTCTTCTGCCTTGTATCAGAAACACAGGACACACCCTGGGCCACAGGAGTCTTACTTTCTGTGGGCTTCTCTATTTCTGCCCGGACCTTTTGGTTCTGACTTCTTTGTGTTCATAAACTAAAGTTTATACAGCTGAAATGAATGCCACAGATACAAGAGAATTTTTCCTTCTTTGCAAATATACTTACCATACCTTTCATGGTTCAGTTTGAGGGAAAAAAATCTTTATTAGGATAAATTGATAATAGGCAAAGATGTAAATTAATAAACAGATCTGGCCTGAGTCACCATGAATGGAGTTTGCTAAAGAATTGACATCCTTTGATATCTTGACCATAGAGAGAGCCCATCAGAATCTACAGCCCTGAGAAGCGAGGGCTATTTTAAAGACATCGACAACTCCACTTACAACTGGAACAAAGAAAGTATGACAGAAACAGGATTTCAATGAGGCAGTTCCAATGGGTAGGGATTTTACATATTGTTTCAGTTTGAAGTATTTAACAAGAAGCAAGAAAAATATTTGCTCTAACATTTTAAAAAACAACTTACAGTTCTAGATAAAACTTTCAGGACTTAGGACAGGGCCCAGTGTTAGGGTGCCTGGAAACCTGGGTTAGGCTGTCAGCACAGAACATACATTAAATTCAGTTACATTGCTAAGCAAACAACATAAAATATTTCACAAGTATCCACTAAGCTCATAATATATGGACTATCTGATATGTAAAATGCATGTTATTAGGTACAATAAACAGAACCTGGCCTTGTGTAGGAAATGACTTTGCAAGTTCACCTTTTCATATTGGTCAGGAATCTGTTGATCGCTACAGTTGAAGTTGACTAGAAATCTTTCACCAGCCTCCCAGCTAAGTAAAGTGAAATATGCAATTATTTTGGCTAGAATAATAAGCAATTTAACTATAATGTGCTTTACTGGTATAACAATGTGTGCATCTTAATCTCTACTAGTAAGAGAAATAAAGTGTATAACTCAGAGTCTTCTCAAAGGGAGCTTTATACAGTGCCACAGTATTTATAATTGGCTTATAAAGATAAGGCCTTAAAAGTTTACCTTGCAGCTGTTTATGATAGTGAGAGATTCCATGACAAGTAATTAATAATCAAAAAAATGATTTTTAATCTTACAGAATCATGAGGAAAGCACATGTTTGTTAAGTTTGTATTCTATACCCGGGACTTTGAGCAATAGTGGTATTTTCATGTGTATAGTGGTTGTATTACACAACCTAGTTTGGATTTTCAAGAGTCTCTTAAAGTTCTTGCAGTCTACTGGGTACATGGGAAAAAACACAAGCTCTTCACTCTTACTTCAGCCAAATCATTTACCTTAGGGCTAGGAGTTTAGCTCAATAGTAGGGCACTTGCCAACACACAGGAAGTCTTAGATTCAAGCATGTACACATGCACACACATGGGTACACATGCACAAGTAACTCAGTCTTTACTCAGCTCAACCTTTGCATGTTAGGACTTAGGGTACCACATGCTATCCAACAGAAACCAGTCATGGGACTGATAATAGCAATTTTTGTCAATATTCTGAGAAGTGAAAGCATGATTATTAAGATGTGAAATTGTCTTTTTCTTTCAATTTGAATTCAAAATTCAAATGGAGTATAAAAATTAAGTAAATAATCTAACAAAATTAGTTTGCATTCAGTTAGACAGCTTCGCATTACTGCCCTCAAGCATCTCAAGCTGAGTTGAACCACTTCAGTAAAATAGCTTTTACTATACCTGGGGAAGTACAATTAAAAAGGACTAGATGAAGTAAAAACATTAAAAATGTATAATGTGAAATATTTACATTGACACGTAATATAAATATTAAAAATAAATGTAAAATTTAAAAGGATAAATCTGGAAAATAACCATTTAAAATACTATTGCACTCAAAATAAATCTTATAAGCGAAAAGTGCCTGCAACAAGAGTGCCTAGGAGTTATTTGCTATCTATAAAGAGAACAAGAAGAAATAGATTCATCTTGCCTGAAAAGTATGATCACTTTGGGAGGCAGAGCTACTGATTAAATGAGGAAACGCAAGGAGCTGGTCCTTCCAGACACAGCTCACAACTGGCTCCCACCAGCTGGGCTGTGCGGCCCTTCGTTCTCTGAATCTGTCCTCTACTGCAGCCATTCCTACTACAGACTAAGGAGAGCGTGATTTGTTAAGTCGTCAACTGGTCAGGCTGGACAGGACCTCACCCATGTCACCTAACCCAACCTCACAAGTCAGTATGGTGCCACAGAAACCAACATGCCCGTCACTGACCCCATAGGCCTGTTTAAATATCAACCCATTTAAATAAAATTTTTGCATCAGTTTCCCAGTCACATGAGGAGTCAGTGTGACTTGACAGTGGGAAAAGGTGCCTCAGTCATCGTGGAGAGTCCCATCAGAGCCAGCTGGGCAGGGCTCAAGCACTGGACTGTCAAACAGATAATGCAGTGCAGAATTCCAACTCGACCTGGGCATGGCTATAGGCAAGTTACTTATTTTGGTCCTGGATTCTATTTCTGAAAACTAGAGTAACAAAATATTAGTATGCAATGAGATTTAAGGTATCGTTTTGACAGCTAAATAAATTCTTACCCAAGTCACTTGTAACTGTATGTGGCCTACAGTCAATTCCCAGAGAGCCCAGCCTCGGCAGAAAAGAGGTGCTCCTGGACCTTGGGCTCCTCCTGTCCACCAGGCCCCAGCACAACAATTCTTTTTAGGTTTATAATCAGCAAATGAAACAGTGAACTGTGAACATTCATACAGAGAACATGAGACTCCACTTAAAATGATTTGGAAATAACCTACAAAACAGCTTTTCCACTTCTGACAAAGCTGTTACTTCCACAAAGCAGAAACTGCACGCTGCCCATTGCCCTGAAAGACTTCTTAGCACTGGGAAAGGCAGTGATGAGCCTTTGGGCAGGACCTTGGTACACTGGTAGAGGGTCACACATAGAGAGTGGCTGAAGGCAATTCCAAGAACATCTCTTGTTTTCACAGTCTGGGAAACCCAGACTTAGGGACTGTGTTACTTTAATCAACAAATAAGATTAATTTACTTCTCATTTCCAGGTGGCAGAACTCTAGACTCCAACATGGTCTTTTAAGGGACTGTGGTGCCACCACTAGCAAATGCAGTCACTTGATCAAAGGTCAAAGTGAAAACAGGGATTAGTGGAGATCTGGAAACAGAAAAAAATATCAATACTATCGCCAAACTATGGAGACACTAAAATCTGAACACACATAAACACTATGCGTAGCAGTCTCTCTAACAAAACCTAGAAATGTGAATTTCCTATTAAACAGTACTACTGTTTATAGCATATACAATATCTGAAAAGTACATATTAGCTTATTTAGCTGATTCATAATGCACCAAGAACACTAGCAACATTGTAATTTTAATAAATATGCAATAATGAAAGCATTTAGTTGAGAAAAATGCTCAATTGTTGATATAATTTTCATTTTTCAAGGATAACTGCAATCCAATGGATGCTTCCACAGTGATCTCTGGAGCTAATAATTAAAATCTGAGTCCTTAATATTTGGCTACAAACAACTATTATTTCTGAGCTCACCAAGTGTTATGTGGATTCGATTTTCATATTACATGTCATGCGTGCTGTTTTAGATGAATTGGAAATTAAAGCCAAATTGAAAACAGATCATAAATTTTAAAATGGTCACTGTGTCAACTACAAGCCTTTTTCTCCTCTGAATTGGTTCTCTCTAAACAAAGATTTGATTTCCAGAAGGAAAGGGTTCCACAGTATTCCCTGCGCCCAAGATGTTCATACTGAGTCCCACCATGAGGAGACACTGCTGCAAGTCCAACGTGTGGGGAATCTAAGAATCAGTGTCAAGAAAACCAAAGCAAAGCAGAACAAAGGTGGAGAGAATATTCTAGACTAAAAACAACTACAGAAAATAACTGAATGCCATCCAGGAAGCCTACTTGACACTGAGTTATAAAAAGCTTTAAAGCAAAATTTAGGGACCTTGAATCTAGACTGCTTCTTAGATAAACACACATTAATATTGGCTGCATTAGAAAGGCCTGTTTTTCAGTTATCTGTAGGATCTGGGAGTGAAATTTTATTTGTTGTCTGGAAATACATTCAAACCTCTTGAGAGAGGAAAGGCAGATGCAAGAGAAATGAACAAATATGGAAAACTCTTCCAATGTGCGAGTCTAGGCGAAATACACATGTGTGCCCAGTACAGTCCCTTTCAGGTTCTCTGCTCATGTGAAACTTTTCAAAACAAGAATTTGGGGAGGGGTGACTAAAGGGTTCAAATACTGGACAAAATTATCTTTGCCAAATGAGCAGCCTGAGCCTGCCCCGATGCTAACAGAAATTAGACACACTAGAATTACTTTCTAAAAACAAGCAGTATTTACTTAATATAGATTGCACATTTTTGATACATTTTATACTAAATGGCAATAACTGTTAGACATACAAATTTTTAAAGTTTCATGGTGGCAAAATGTGATAATGGTGCTTGTAAGACTAGGACTTTATTTTCAAAACTAAAAAGTACACTAAAAGAAAAAAATGCCATACAAATAAACACATGCACTTATAAATTTTTTCAGATACAATCCTCAGCTGATTTTGGAATATTCCAGCATATTGACCGTACATTCGTCACTCCATATATACAATCGTTAGCCAAGAAAAAGTGTAATCTTTTTAAAATATTATAACAAACATCAAAATTAGCCAATCATTACATTCACTTTAACAATGATACTATGAAAAAAATAATATTGCCATACATTTATTAAAGTTTTACTCTTGCAGTTGGAAGAACTTGCTAAGTCAAGAATTTTTGCCACTTTAAAGTTCGTTATTATTTTTATCATCATAAAAGCAATCCCACTCACAAGATAATTAAATTAGATTTTGAAAATTGATTGTCAGGGAAAAAAATTATCTTTCCTTATGGATTTTTTCATTATATAAATTACACAGCATAAGAAATCACTATAAACAATTTAATTTTATTCAACTCTGGTAGATGAAAGAAAATTCTATAACCTGCTACCATAATTTATCCTACTAACCTTTTCCAATACCTTTGTGAGTTTCTGAGGCTATTTTTGTTTCAGTCTTTGAAATTTTGAAGATCTGGATATATGGAAAACCCAGTCAGCCTCTAGGTTTGCTAAGATTCAGATCTATCTATACTATCTCATTATAATTAACATAGAACCAATCACACACCTTATATGTAGAATTGTTTGCCCTTATACTATGCTGCAGTTAAATAGTGAGCTAAAATAATTTTTAAAAGTGAGAGAGGCAGGAAAGTGTGTTGGAGCTTCCTGACAGGCAGCCTCAGAGCTCCTCAGGAAATGCCCTGTCAAAATATGCATACATTTCCAAGATACTCGCACAACAGCCCTGCTCATCAGAGCTGCGGACAGCAGCTTTTGCCTTTCTTTGGAAAGGCAAATAATTCTATGCAGGAATTTACCAATCTACAAAAATGTACGCAAAGCTCAGCAATAACTAGTAATTATTGTGGGATAACGTGAGGCGCATCTGAGGACCAAAACTTTGGCAGGATGGGGCTTCTGTGCTTTACCAATTTGTCTTTCTCTGTTCTGTCACCAGTGCTTACGAGGTTAAGACTTTATTTGTGCAAACAGAGAGAGAGTGGGGAATCGTGTTGTCTGGGGCTTCATAAATCTTGCTTAAGATCCTTTTCAATTACCATCCATTTCTCCTTTAAAAAGGGACAAAAAAATAGCGGAGTGGGAGCGGGTCAGGGCAGCCAGCGACAATGACAGTGTGATGGGCCGGCCCCCCGCGGCGTTTCCATCTGCTATCATTAAGGTGCCTACTCAGACATGAACAAATCCCTCTTGCTGTGCTGACAGGCAGACTTCAAGAACTATGACAAGGCATTAAGACAGGAAGTCGGGGAGAGGGAGAGAGCATGCACATGGGATCACAGTCCACAAACAATACTGTCTCGGAAAAATGCCCTGAAATTTTATTGGAATTCAGAAAATCTTTAAATGCCCCAAGAGGTGCTGCTTGGCTCCTCCAGGCCTTCTGCTAAATTTGCTCGCCCCGGAAAGACAGGACCAACCGGAGAACTGCTTTGATCCCACCTGCACATTTTACCATGAGAGACCCGAATATTTTGCTGTTCTTTAGTGAAAGCAGATTCTTACTGTCTTGCTGTCCCTGTGGGAAAGCCAGCTGAGGCAGAAGCAGGCCCGGGGGGCCCGACGGAAGAGCCGCAGCCTCGGGTGGATCCCAAGGAGTCACTGGTGGAGTTGGGTCAGGGGGTGGGAGGAAGACAAAGAGTCTAAACCGAGAGTGTCAGTAGTAAACTGTCTCTGATCTATAACAAATGCAGCCCAAACAAATGATAATTAAATTCACGAATAATGTTAAAAGAAGTGTGAAATGACAGCAACGTTTAGCTCTGTAAAGTAACAAAACAAGCACGGGCTTTTAACCAGCAGGGGGTGCCACAGGCTTGTGATTGAGCTCTGACCCCTTGGCACAGGGACTGAAGGCAGATGTGTGACAGACTCAGAAAGAGCACTTAGCGTCTAGCCCGGCAGCAGTCTTCCCTGAGAAGAGCTCTGCTTGTCCATCTGAGCGACACACTTTGTTAGGGCCTTTCCTGACCAGATTTAAGCAGCGTGACTGTGCACCACCCTGTCCCCACCAACGGCAGGTGACCAATGGTAAGACAATGCAATTCATCATTTGCATGGCTGCAAAGTAAACGTGACTTTCAACACACATTGGCCCACACAGAGGAAACCTTCCCAGAAGCACCCGAAGACTAGGGCTAGCAGTTGTGTGTGTGCAAGCAGCCACGCGCATGCAAGCAGCCATGTGTATACAAGCACCCGTGTGCATGCAAGCAGCCGTGTGTCTATAAGCAGCTGTGTGTGTACAAGCAGCCATGTGCTTGCAAGCTTGTGTTCACATGAAGAGATGGTGTTTCCAAGGTGTAACTGAGACACCCAGATGAGAGCAACGCAGAGCGCTGCTGTTTAACATTTTAAATCATAGCACTGATTATGTCTGCATCTACCTTACGTTTAGCTACTCTGAGTTATCCAGATAATCTTCATTTGAGCCACATTCCACAGTTAAAGCAAATCTAAATGCAGCGTGCAGTCAGTGGTATCTCTGAGGCATCTTTTCATCCTTCGGTCTCACCTTTGTCTCCGTGTCTGGTCTGGCCCCTTCCCACTCAGTTCCCTGAGACCCTGTCACAAGCTTTCTCCCTGTACTTCCTGTCACTTCTTATGTCTCTCAGCTTCTGGGGACTCCACAGACCTTCTAGGGATGCAGGTGTGCTTTGGTCTTTTCTCGCCTCACTGTGATGCTGTCTTTTCTTTTTTTCTCCTTCTACAAATTTCTAGGGAAGATATATTAAGAAGTGCTAAATTCTGAGGATCAGAGGCAAAAAGGGGACGTTTCAGTCCTCCTGTCCCTGTCAGGTGCCTCATTGAGGGCTGTAAGCTTCTGCTATGTAAATAATGTCTTGGATCAGCAACTACAGAGTGTCTAAGAATATGAGGCTTTGTCCAAATTAAAGACAAACCACGATGTCCCCAACTCTGACTTTTTGATGCTCTATTTAACCAGACTTTCAGCACTGAGCATCAGAGAGGCTGGCAATGACAAAGTTTTTTAAATTTCACGCAGGTGAATACTTATCCTCCAGCCAAGCCAAATCCTTTGAATTAAAAATGACAACCATCCTCTGGAGGTGGCTAGCAGCAAGAGCATTAGTAAAAATCTGTTTTTGTTTTGTTTTGTTTTGTTTTTATCACTGCAGGCACAAGCATGTTTTGCAACCTAAGACTGTATTTCCAAAGCCCTGCATTTATTTCTGCATGGTCTCAATGGAAGCTTTGCTGTGTTGTTTCACTACTATTTGAGAAAATGTGTAATGCTCATCATTTTTTAAATCACAGGGATTTTGCTTTATGGCCATCACCTTTTTTGTGCAAGAAAAAACTGAAGATCTAAGGAAAGAAATCCAGAGAAGAAATGGGAGTTCTCAGGGCCTGGGTGCCAGGAAACGTGGCCACGAGCTCCACCACTCAACCAAATTCCCTGCCCAGGAGCTGTGGCACAATCTTTATTTGCTCAATTTGTGACAGACTGCACTTTAGGGGCCAGAAAATGAGCACTCGAGAGGAGGTACGGGGCTCAGTGCCACTCATCTTTAGGTCATAGGTGAGGGCCAGGCTGTGGAAACCAAAAATTGTGATAATATTCCCCCATCTATCTTCAAGGCTATCATCACCAAGCCTTGACACGGTAAGGATTTGCTCAGATCTGAGAAGAGTGCGAAGCACCTCCGGCTAATATGCAAGATGAGTGTCCCCACAGGGAGCAGTGGGGCATGGGTGGAGCAAGGGTCCCCACCAAGGAACTAATCAAAGCTCCAAACCCCCAGCTTTCCCACAGAAGCAGAGCATCACAGCAGTGTGTCCTAGGTCAAGACAAAACATTCTCTATAATAACATCTTTGCATGTAATAACATAAGCACCATCTTCAATTTCAGCATGAAGTAAAATACACTCATGTGAGAATGTGGAGATAGAGATAGGTAGAAAATTCTAGGAGGGCTTTTGTGTCATAGGGATTTGTGTAAGAAACCAGAAGTCCCTGGGTGGGTCTTTAAATCAGCACAGTGGCATTTCCTGGTCTCCAATGGTCCAATGAGAGGCTCCCAATTTACATACAAGACTATGATTGGCTACAAAGCCTAGGTAATGGATACTACCAGAGAGACTGATATGCTGAAGAGAAGGGGCAAAAGGGAGAAAGCTTGGGGCAAAGGTAGGAAGGCAGAGCCCAAAATATGGATGGATGTGCACTCAGGCACATAACCCGAACTGGTAAAGGACATGGCATTCAGAGTCCTTCCATGCAAGACAAAGGCCCCAGATAAAGTTCCTGGACACACTGGTTCTGCCTGAGAAGCACCCCAATTGTCTGGAAAAAGGCAAAGATAAGCATGCCTGAGGTCCACCAGCTGGCCTTGCTCAAGATGGGCATGGCAAAGACCACAGCTGTGTCCCTGAACAGGGTCTTGGGCTCAGAAGCCCTTGAGACCACCAGTGTCCCCTCCATAGAAGACCATGTCATTTCTTGCTAGACAGCAAAAAGAGCACAATCCTGATGCATCCAAGCCCGGGCCCATGTAAGTACATGGAGTGTCGGATGTGGCTATGTGGGTCTAGGGGGGATAATCCACCGAGCCTTGGCTTACAGACCAGCAAATGACTGATCTTTGGTAAAGAATTTTAGGATGTCATCACTTAAATGAGCTCCACGTAACCTAGGAAACATTTGGGGTCATTAACAAACTGTAGGCTCACACTTTCCGCCATTCTGTCATATCGAGCTGAGCTACTAGATCCAAAATCTTTTTTACTGTTCTAAACAGAGGTCTCCCCAGGCCCTTTACCATCTTCAAATACCTGAAAAACAAACACATTGAAAAAAATAAGCGCACACACACAGATGTACATATTCACACACATGGACTGTGCGGGCACAGCACATGTCACGTGAGGATTATGTGCATCTGTGGGAATTGTGCAAGGCAAGAACCAAGTCAAGGAGGGAACATGTGTGAGTAGCAGTTGACAGAAGAACTAGGAGAACACCCAGAAGCCAGGCCCTGGGTCTCCTGTGGTTTCAGTGCCTAACCAGCTCATGCTCCCTACAAAGGTAAAACAGAAGCAAACTTGGGTATCAAAGGAATCATTGCCCACAGTGGGTGCATGAGCAAAGACTCGGCAGAGGTCCACTAGCAACCAATTCATGGGCTTGGTTTGTCAGTCTTCAAAGCCGCAAGGCCAGATCACATGAGGGACGCCTGATCTATATTTAAATTCCACCCGCTTCTGGCTCATCTTTTGACTCACTGAAGGAAATTCAGCCTGGCAGATTTATTGCATAACAGTGCGGTGAAAGCCATCCATTCTGAGTGTACACATCCTGGAAGCTGAAGAGAAGTGGGAGGAAATTCCCAGCATCACATCACATAGCACTCACTGGGAAGAGGAAAGCACCAAAGAGTTGCAGCAGGAGGGTGCCACACTAGCGACCAGCAGGGACCGTCCACTCTGCAGCCCAGGCAGGCCCACTGCCCTGGGGGAGACAGCCGAGCAGGTGTGAGTGGGACTGCTGAATGGTTGAAATCCTTGCTTTTTACTCTGATTTCCCGGAAAGTTCTTTTCTTCGAGATCTGCTACACCTGTTATCTCCATGTGGCCATGTTTGCATTTCCACTGCTGTTTCCAGAGAGGGAGAATGACACTGAAAAATAAAGAAAATCATCTTACATTTGGAGACTGTTCCATATTTTCATCAGTTTCCATGGCTTCTTTAGGTTTCAGACACTCACAAAAAAATGATTAAGAAAAACAAAGAATAAAAACCTTAAGAACTGTTGGTTTCCCTCCAATCTAGGTTTTTCACAGAGTTTCTGGTGCCATGCAATTGCACTCTGGATGAGATCTTTTTCTAATTGAGAATTTTTAAAATGAATTTTTCTCAGTGAAGATACAATTCTAGTACCAGGCAGGGTAGCTCACACCTGCAATCCTAGCATTCAAGAGGCTGAGGCAGGAAGATGGCCATGTTCAAGGCCATGCCTGGACTACATAGTGAGATCAAGGCCAGCCTGGAGTGCATAGTCTCAAAAAACAAAAAACAAAAAACAAAAAATGATAACAGCACTGAGCAAGAAATCTGTTTTGCAAAGAATCTTATGAACCCAACTGTGGCCTTCGTGTTTGTGGGAATCAGCTGAGCGGAGAATCATATTGTCAGAACAGTCTCTTCGGGACCCTAATCTGGAGCAAACCTGAAATGATGGACAGATTCACAATGAGGGGAGTAACCCAGAGGCACCCATTCTGCAAGGTTAGTGAGGCTGACAAAGCTCAGGTGCAAAACTCGCTGATGCCCTAGATGAGAGGCGGACACGGAGCGGGACAGCTGCATGCTGTGCAGTGCCCGCGGGCACCACCAGCCACGCCGGGACATGAGGACTTGGTCACACCGCACACCCTCTCTGCTCCCCACTCCACTCCCTGGGGCCTGGCAGGAGACCTCCCATCTGCGTCCTGAGATGTGTTGGCCAGAAACAAAAACAGAAATAGACTAAAGCTTCCAAAAATATTCCGAGGCCATTTTTAAAAGGGTGTTTCAAAGGTCAAGTAAAAGTTTGGGCATTTAAATGAGAAAAGGTTGTGGTCCATTAGCCACGTGTGCAGTGCATTTGCAATCTGTCTACAAAAATAAAATTATCCAAAACTAAATTATCCAGGTCCTGTTGGATTCTGCTTCTCTTAAGGTTTGCCTCTAGCTCTTAAGTTTTATGGTAATGTGTACATATATCCATTTTAAAATGGTATCAGTCCTGTATGTGTATTTGTCTCTCCTGTGTATAAGCAGTCCTTTTATTTCTAATGCTTGAACAAAGATAGTGCTCTGAGCAGCATTTCCATGATTGCTGAGATATAGGAAAATGAAAAAGAGTCACCTTTATTTCACTGCTGGCTCAACTTTGGCTCTGAAGAAGCTGGCTACTATTGGCTTTCAGTGGCTCTGTGCGTGGCCTCCTGCTCTAGAATGAAACCCTCAGTATGAGAGGCTGAGGCACGAGGCCAGCATGGCCCATGTGGGTCCCAAGGAGGAAAGCCACGCGGCCCAGAAAACACTGACCCAGATCTCCCTGAAGCACAGGGGCTAATGAGTTCTGAAGGGATGCCAGCTGGGAACAGGAACGTCACCACCCAAGTGCAGAGTTTTAGGCGGGAGTGGAATCCAGGCTCCATAGCATTTCCACTTTCCCCTTGGTATTACTTTTACTTTTCAATTACAATCATCTGATATTGAATTTCTTGAGTAGGACCAAAGTAGACAGTCACTAACCGTTCACTGTAATGCCAGTCCATCAGTTCATTCATTCACCCAATATGGACCAAGTGCCCACCATATGCAGTGGTGAATTCAGCCTTTGTTGTTGGGGCATCTGTCTCCTGCTGAACAAAGGGGAGGGACAGACATAAACAATAAATAGAACAGAACCTTTGGATCAGAGACTGAGACTTCCAAAACTGTGGCCCAAATCGAACCTCTTCTGTTTGTAAATCAGCTCCCCGAGGTATACGTGGGCAGTGACAAGAGAGCTGGCTCTTGCACTCCCACTTGGTCTCTCAAGCCAGACCTTGGAAGTGCTCTCAGCCACTTCTATACCATCCAAGGCAAGGGAGGCCTGAAAGAGAGGAAACTGCAGTGGCAAAAGACAGTGGGCTCAACCAACTATGGGAAAAATAGGTTATGTTTGTGAAATTCACAGAAACTCCCACACAAGGGCTAAGGTCCCGCCCAGGATCTTGGAAGGGACCTAAGCAGGGAAGAAGCCCTAAAGCTGAAGTTTCTCGAGCTTCATGGTAAGTATCATCACACTCTGAGTAAGCAGGAAGGCAGTAAATGTCACATAAGAAAGGGGACAGAGGCTTGGGGTCAGGGAGTAGAACATGGGTGCTGTTTACCATGTGAGCCAAGAGACCAGGAGAAACACTAAGAGAGGAACTGTTAGGGGTGAAGATTCAGAAGTGAGAAGGACAGCAAAGCAGAGAGCCTGGAGGAGCACTGCAGGGCTGGCAGCCACTTGGGGAAAAGCCCTGCGCGGCAGCATGTCCAGGGGAAGCTGACGGGACTACACAGATGGCGAAAACGGGTGAACCGGAAATCAGGGAGTTGCAGGGCGGAAAGCGGAAATCACTGGCAGGTGTGGAGCAGAGCAGAACAGAATCTGGCTTGTGTCCTTAAGGAACCACCATGACTGCTGGGCTGGGAACAAACGGTTGAGGGCAAAGGTGGCCCGAGTGGCTGAGACCAGGTGTTACCAAGCCATGCAGGAAGGTGGTCAGTTTCCAGCATTCATTCCAGGGGAAACGTCTTTTGCTTTTATTTACTAATGGGGCTGGGAAATGAAATATCAGCTAATATTACTGAAACATGATTCTGCATTTATGGATGGACATTAACCAGTGAAAATATAACTATGCACACGAACAACGACAGAATTCCAAAAGGATTTCACAGGCTCAGAAGATTTCACAAAGCCAGGGACCACACAGGGGAAGCAGACTTGAATGTGGAGTTAGGAGCCAACCTTCAACGAGAGCGCCAGGCATCGCCAACGATTTCTGCCGAGCGCTGGGCAAAGTCATGCTCAGCACATCATCTCTCTGGGCTCTAATGTCTTAAGTGTAATTAAGAGCCAGCTTCGAGAAACAGCAGGTCCCTAACCCCTCCACGGCCACCAGGCAGACCTCCCAGGAAGCTCCCCAGACCGTGAGCAGAAGGCCAAAGAGCCAGGCTTCCAAACACTTCTGGATACAATGCTGTCAAGAGGCAGTAATAGCAAATGACAATGCTGAATGCACAAGTGGGAAGAGAAACAGGATCTACACCTGAGGCCGCCTGCAGCAAAGGAATAAAAGCCACCTCACAGCACACCTGGCCTTTGCAGGTGAGTGTGGTAAGCGCTGAAGACAACTTGCAGGTTGTCTTGGCCTGGGGTCCCCTGGAAACAGACACTGGACCAGGATTTGCCTGCAGGAAATTGACTGGGGAGCAGAGGGGGCAGTATGCAGAGGTTCGAGGGCAGGGGGGCGCTGGAGCAGGGTGGCCCTTCCCGCGTTCTCATGTGAGCAGTACATATCAATTCCACCCCTCCTGGGAAGCTGCTGAATATACAAAACACATCTCAATTCTTCTTTTACCATTTCCCTTGCCTGCCCTCTCTCCACCTCTGCTCCCTTTTTCTTTTGCATAAGATCTATCTATCTCCCCGTTTCCTATTATCTACCTTTTAATCTGCTCTTTAAATTATGTCTACTTTGGGTTGCTCATATAAGAACCTGTGTGATATCTCACATTGCGTTTCTGACATTACACTTAACATGATAGTCTCAAATTGCATCCATTTTCTTATAAATAACTCGGATTTATACTTTTTTATTAGGTTTATTTGTCCAAGGTAGATATACATAATGATCCCATTCATCATAAGGAATTTGTACCTGTATGTGATGTATCTTAGTCCTTTTTTTCCTAGTCACTTCCTTTCCCTTCAACCCCCCTCCCCTCCTTGTTTACAAAGCTTTGTTTCCATTTTTTCCTTATTTTATAATTTTTTCTTTTCTCTTCCTTCCTTTCTAACTCCTCTCTCTGTAGTTTCTCTTTCCTTTGAACAATTTCTTCCTATTTCACAACATCTATTGTACATTTTGGTCCTTATTTACTTTTATTTTCTCACACCAGGGAGACAATATGGTATTTATGCATGTGTGTCTGATTTATTTCACTGTAGAATATGGTCTCAAAGTGTACCCATTTTTTACCTAGAAATGTCCCAAGTGTATCCTTCTCTATTGCTGAGTACACCATTGTACTAAAAAACCACATCTTTTTTATCCACTCCTTGGTTGATGTGAATCTGAGTTGTTAACAAGATTTAGCTATTTAAAACTGCTGCTACAGACATGGCTGTACATCTGTTGCTGTGGTATGAGCTTGTTAATACTTCAGGGAACATCCCTGGAAGGTGAATAGCTGGCCAAATGGGACCTCTAATCCTAGGTTTCTGAGCAATCTCCACATTGATTTCCAGACTGGTAGCACCAGTCTTCACTCCCAGGAACAGCGGAGAAGGGCTCCTTTTTCCTCACAGCCCCACTAGCATTTGGTACTGGCTGGTTTCTGGATGACAGCCATTCTTTCTGGGGTAAGATGGAATCTCAGCAGTTTTAATTTTCATTTCTCAAATGACCAGTGATGTTGAACATTTTTCATATAGTTACTTGCCATTTGTATTTCTTCATCTGAGAAGAGCATACTCAGATGAACAGTTTTGGATTAGATCTTTAAATTTAGGGAGTCTGATTTTTTTCAAATATTTATATGTTCTAGATGTAAGTCCTTTGTCTGACGGACAACTGACTAAAATTTTCTCCTACTCTGTGAGTTGTCTTATTACTATGTTAGTGATTTCTTTTGCTGTGCAAAAGCTTTTTAGTAGGATGAGATCCCAGTAGTTGATTCTTTGTAGTATTTGCCATGCAACTGGAGTTTTGTTCATAAAATCTTTGCCAGTACCTATGTCTTCAAGAGTTCTGCCTATTCCTCTTCCAGTAGACTTAGTGTTTCTATTTTAATATTTAGATCTTTGATCCATTTTTTTTTTAGTTCAGTGCATGGTTATAGACATGTCTAGTTTTAATCTTTGGCATGTGGAAAGCCAGTTTTTCCAGCACCATTTGTTACAGAAGCTACCCTTTTTCCAGTGAATGTGTACTGCTTAGGAATCAATCTAACAAAGAAAATAAAAGACCTGTACATTGAAAATCACAGTACTCTGAAAAAGGAAATTAAAAAGAATATCAGAAAATGGACCAACATAGTGAAAATAGCCATACTTCCAAAATTGCTATACAGATTTAATGAAATCTCAATCAAAATACCATTAGTAAACCTTACTGAACTAGAGAAAACATTTCTAAAATTCATTTGGAACCAGAAGAAACCCAGAATAGCAAAAACAATTCTCAGCAACAAAGGCAAAGCAGGGAACATCACAATCCCTGTCTTAAAATTATACTACAAAGCTACTGTGATTCTTTGTAGTATTTGTCATGTGACTGGAGTTTTGTTCATGAAATCTTTACCAGTGCCTATGTCTCAATGTTAAATGAATATTAAAGTTGTAATATTCAGACAACAAAACACTAATAATGAATTTGTGTATTTATACCACATATACAAAAAAGTATCTTAATGCCTAATATAAATATTCTTAAACAGTATTTAATAGGGAAGGAGGCAATATATTTTGTCCTGGAAAATGAACGTATACTTAAATAAAAAAAATCATGTAATCGGTAAACTTTCTCCATCTAACGATTACCTGCACCAAAAAACAAATCATATTTTCCTAACACCCAGCGAAAGCATATTTAAGAGAAAGACATCTATTTGGAAAAAGGCGTTGGAAGCTTCTACTGTAGCTGACAACAGAGCCCAGCACCTACAAACAGGCAAAGTGAGGGCTGCCTGGGCTCGGGCTTTGGGGTGGCCAAAAGGCTTGGACCTCCAATTACCTGACCCACCTTGAGAGAGAGCTCCTTGAGCAGTCAGTCTCAATCACAACACACGGCAGTGAGGGGACAGGAGGGGCACTGTTGGTGGCTGGACATAGGGGCTGGGGTTCTCAGCCTCAGATGGGCAGCAGTCAGAGAGAGGGGGAGAGCAACTCCGTCCCGGCTTCAAATGCCAGAGACCTTCTCATCCATTTTCTATAGTGGACTCCAAGAAAGACTTTCAACCAAAGATGTCGGAAAAGCACTATCTTCACTGAGGCACTGCTTTTCCTGAGGGTACGTTTGGAAGCAAGGATAACGTTAGGAACCCTAGTGAAGGCCGGATTGGGGGCAGGCTGGGAGAGGAGAGGGTGCAGAGCCCTGCAATGTGGTACCCCGGAGAGCCGACAGGGTGGCCCTGCTGCTGGCCTGGTGCTTTAAAGATTCTTCCCGCACCCAGGTGTCAGTGCAGTGGCAGAGAAGCTGCCTCGGGCACAGTGCATGGGCTCCAGTGTGATTCTTCATCCAGCTACAACTCACACTGCAATCGACCTGTGGAAATATCCAGAATTCCCGAGGAGATGGCAGCAGCCATCCTGTCCTAAGGTACATAGTCTCAATAAGCCCTTTGTCATGAAGCTAACTCAAGGAGAAATCCAACAAGAATTTCACTTTGGTTAAATTAATTTACTGCTTGAAATTAAATTTAACTTGGATTACAACATCAGATCTGTGGGTACTGCCGGTAGTTGAGTATGATATCAAGCATAATACATAAGAACTTGATAAATAAAGGTTTGAGGAGGGATTTTGGGGTTTTTTTGTTTGTTTGTTTGTTTGTTTGTTTCTGTTTTTGTTTTTGTTTTGAGACAGGGTCTAAGTGGCTAAAGCCC